AAACTGGTCCAGTGTAAAATAATATGCCGCCTTAGATAAATAGAGCAACTTTTAATCGGATGAGGTTAGCTTGCTGTATTATACATCGCTGTATAAACATATTGGGTTGGCGGGGGAGGGAGATCACCAAAAATAACCAATATTTTTGTAAGTAAAATGATGACATACGCTGCCTTGGATATGCCTGCATGTTAAAGAAAACAGTATAGTATTTCAGCATACTGTATGACATGGGCAGTGCATGCGCCAGCCTATTGTGCCACTCTTGTTACGTTCTCTGCAGTACCCCGCTGTTTTTTGAAGGGTAGTCATAATTAGTGTTGGATCATTTACTTCAAATGTTCCATTGTTTATTTTAAATTGTGGTTTTCACGGTACAATAACTGCAGGAACATAAATGTTGCTGATCAACTCCCCGCCAGTACGAAAGACGAAGTCTGTAGTTGCTTGACATTGGATTTGCACGCGTGCTGCTCGTGTGTGGTGGTGGTGGATGCTGGCCGTCCCCAGGAAAATACATTTTCCACGATAAAAACCGACAACTCGTTAAAAGCCTAATGAGTCAATACAGTTCTGGGTTTAATTATTGATCACGATCTAAACCTCGAGAACATATCTTGGAATTTCACGGTGCTCTACGGTCCAGCGGTTAGTGCTCCTTGGTCATTTAAAGTGGCGTGTTTAATAGAAAGCTATTTAAGGTTCCATTATACGACCAGCCACTTCAATAATTTTGAATTCTGACTTAAGCTTGTGGAAATGCGTGCTCGCTGAACTTTTAAAGCAACAGTCTTTGTAATAAAGCAAGGTTAGAAACCACTTTGCCTGCTCCGAGTAATAAGCCTTGTAACCTGCTTGTTAACATTTTCCATACACGCTACTAACGACTTGCGATATGCCTATCTCTATAAGTTATTTGCTAACATTTATCACACTTTGGTTTTAATCACTCTGTACACTTGTGACATTTCGAATACATACAAATATATACCGTGATGAACAGTCTTGTCTCTCCGATGGCAACTCGTCAGGTGGAGCTTAGATAAAAAAAATTATAATTCCGGCCTTGGATGGTATTTTACAGACCTTGAAATTATCTCAATGTCGCGACATAATCTGAATTTGATAAGTAAAAAAAAACTCATTGTTAACATTTAAAATATCCAATTGCTATCGTATGTCATTCAATATCACACGTATTCATTGGAGGCCCAATTGTGAATTGTTTGCCCGTCAATCTGGCATTTAAATCGGTAAACGATATTCACCATTAGTCCATTGTGCTCGGCGCCGTGGCAGTTCAACTGAATCAACATCTGATAGAAAGTTTCATTTGCACATCCAAGCGGCAAGCACGTTAAAAAGTAAAGTTAATCATTTGAGAACAATTCGACAATGACTTTACTATCCGTGAAAAATGCTCCCTGTTTGTGAGTTTACACTTTCACCGATCACCGCTGCAGCTGGGAGGCGCCAGTCGATGGCATCCAAAAGTAAACACCCGTTCACCTTTTTTTTAATGTGTTCAATCCCAAACACACGTCTCGCACATGTCCACGAAGCGGCACGACAAACTCTGCCAGGACTGTTCCTGCATTTCTATTTTCGCTCGCATTTTCACCTGTGGGTTCTCCATTTGGTTATCTGTGATCTCGCGCGGGAGGTTGTGAAAACGTCAACGATGTCGACGGCTATTTGACGTGTACTGAGCAGGAAAATGGTTCGTCTCGTGTTTGGCCCATTGTATACTTGTATGAACCTGTAGTATAACACTACCCGTCTTTGTCTGTCGGGTGTGGTGCTGGCCACTCACCCCCTCGTGTAATACAAGTACCCCTCTCACAGAACTTGCCCCAAAAATATGTTAAGGCTTTATAGCAGGGGGATCTTTGTTCATGGCGGGAGTGGTGGTGTAGTGATTAGCGCGCTGCGCACGCGGCCACCCGAGTTCGATTCACGCTCACGGCCAACATCAGTGCGACAATCATCTGAATCGGTCCTGGGCCTCCCCTAGTTCGACTCAGCCTCACATGAGTACCTGGCGCGATGCTGAAACATCACCACACGGGAGACAAATGTGGCCGGGGGTGGTGTTGGCCACCCACCCCCTCGTGTGCCGTGCCGGCCTTCATAGGTGCTCGCGAACAGCACTTGCCACCACAGTCTGTTAAGGCTATACGTGTGATATTTGTTCTTGCGCTATGATCTTAAAGGTGTTTTTTTCCAACAAGTGTGCCTTTATAGGTGGGAGCACAGGGCAACGAAGGCATTGTGGCCACGTGGCTGTTCGTTGTGACAATCCACATAGCATGTGATCCGACAGATGAGAGATGTTCTATCCGCTCGACACTGGAGTGGGAGGCTGGGTATGGCAGGGACATGCAGAATCCCCCTGCCGCAATGATCATTAATTTCCATAATGATCATTCATTTCCATAATGAGACAGACTGGCTGCACAGACGCACGAGGTATGTTGTTTCCGTAATGCGCATGATGCCGCTTAAACTAATCAAACAAATAGAGATTCTGACAAACGCGAATCTCTTTAGTAGTTGTACACGGTGCATTTTACCACTGCACATATCCTCTTTCTGACTGCGCATTGTCTCGGCTTCGGGCGTGGTGGCTGGCAGGCATTGTATGGTTGTGCGACTGCCATTCATTCTGATTCTCTGTCGAACTTTCTTCTGCGAGCTCACCTTCTGCATCGGTGTGTATCTCTATATCTGTCCCCCCCCCCCCCCCCCCGTGTGTGCCTGGTGCGTGTGTTTTCGTGTCCATCTCACCGCATATCTCAGTCGTCTATCTCTGTGTATCTGCCTTTCAGTTTCCGTCACCACTCTTTGGGTGTGTTTATGCGTGCGTGTTGGTGGTGTTGTTTCTGCCGCTGTCGATTTCTGTTTCTCTGTGTGGTCTGTGTCAATCCTCACGCGTGTGTGTCTGTATGTGCATCTGGGTAAGCCAGTGCACAAGTGCCGTGTGTGTTCTGTAAAAGCCTGTGTGCACGCGTATACCATAGTGTGTGTATATACCTGAACGTTTAAGGTCGCTTTATACATTATTATACAGTATACGTACTGGCTTGAATGTGTGTACGCCTGTGTACGTGCGTCTCTGCGTACACGTGTCTGTGTGAGGACACTAAGGCTATAGGGGGATCTTTGTCTTTGCACATGTGCGCAAGATTACATTTGCACGTGTGCGTATATGTATAGTACAGTACATGTACAGTGAGGGAAAAAAAGTATTTGATCCCCTGCTAATTTTGTACGTTTGCCCACTGACAAAGAAATGATCAGTCTATAATTTTAATGGTAGGTTCATTTGAACAGTGAGAGACAGAATAACAACAAATTCAGAAAAACACATGTCAAAAATGTTATAAATTGATTTGCATTTTAATGAGGGAAATAAGTATTTGACCCCTCTGCAAAACATGACTTAGTACTTGGTGGCAAAACCCTTGTTGGCAATCACAGAGGTCAGACGTTTCTTGTAGTTGGCCACCAGGTTTGCACACATCTCAGGAGGGATTTTGTCCCACTCCTCTTTGCAGATCTTCTCCAAGTCATTAAGGTTTCGAGGCTGACGTTTGGCAACTCGAACCTTCAGCTCCCTCCACATTTTCTATGGGATTAAGGTCTGGAGACTGGCTAGGCCACTCCAGGACCTTAATGTGCTTCTTCTTGAGCCACTCCTTTGTTGCCTTGGCCGTATGTTTTGGGTCATTGTCATGCTGGAATACCCATCCACGACCCATTTTCAATGCCCTGGCTGAGGGAATGAGGTTATCACCCAAGATTTGACGGTACATGTTTGACGGTACATGGCCCCGTCCATCGTCCCTTTGATGTGGTGAAGTTGTCCTGTCCCCTTAGCAGAAAAAAAAAACCCCAAAGCATAATGTTTCCACCTCCATGTTTGGCAGTGGGGATGGTGTTCTTGGGGTCATAGGCAGCATTCCTCCTCCAAAAATGGCGAGTTGAGTTGATACCAAAGAGCTCCATTTTGGTCTCATCTGACCACAACACTTTCACCCAGTTGTCCTCTGAATCATTCAGATGTTCATTGGCAAACTTCAGACGGGCATGTATATTTCCTTTCTTGAGCAGGGGGACCTTGCGGGCACTGCAGGATTTCAGTCCTTCACGGCGTAGTGTGTTACCAATTGTTTTCTTGGTGCCTATGGTCCCAGCTGCCTTGAGATCATTGACAAGATCCTCCCGTGTAGTTCTGGGCTGATTCCTCACCGTTCTCATGATCATTGCAACTCCACGAGGTGAGATCTTGCATGGAGCCCCAGGCCGAGGGAGATTGACAGTTCTTTTGTGTTTCTTCCATTTGCGAATAATCGCACCAACTGTTGTCACCTTCTCACCAAGCTGCTTGGCAATGGTCTTGTAGCCCATTCCAGCCTTGTGTAGGTCTACAATCTTGTCCCTGACATCCTTGGAGAGCTCTTTGGTCTTGGCCATGGTGGAGAGTTTGGAATCTGATTGATTGCTTCTGTGGACAGGTGTCTTTTATACAGGTAACAAGCTGCGATTAGGAGCACTCCCTTTAAGAGTGTGCTCCTAATCTCAGCTCGTTACCTGTATAAAAGACACCTGGGAGCCAGAAATCTTTCTGATAGGGAGGGGGTCAAATATTTATTTCCCTCATTCAAATGCAAATCAATTTATAATATTTTTGACATGCATTTTTCTGGATTTTGTTGTTATTCTGTCTCTCACTGTTCAAATAAACCTACCATTAAAATTATAGACTGATCATTTCTTTGTCAGTGGGCAAACGTACAAAATCAGCAGGGGATGAAATACTTTTTTTCCCTCACTGTATACCCGTATAAATTGTACGTGTATGAATGTGAATGCACACAAAGACAAACCCCACCTATTGGCCTTTCACAAACTGTTCGCGAGCACCTTTGTCTCCCCAGCGGCGATGTTTACTACACACCGCACCAGGTACTGTACTCATTTGAGGCCCGAGTCGACCTAGGGGAGGGCCAGGACCGGTTTAGATAATCGTCACCGGTGTGGTGACCCGTGAGCGGGAATCGAACTCGACCCGCCAGCATCGTAGTGCAAGCGCTGCGCTAACCGCCACACCACCGCTCCACACTCCCGCGCGCGCGCGCGCACGTGTTCACACAGTTGTGATGCGTGTCGCGTTCCGCCTCCCATTGGGCACACACACAGAGAGAGAGAGGCGAGGAAGGGGACCTCCCTCCTTCCTCCTCCCCTCGCCGCGATCTCATTCGGCAGCCCTGGCAAGCAGCAGGTGATGCAGCAGCAGCTTCCCTTGCCTGCCGGTGCCCGCCAGTGTTGACCGGTCGCTGGACCTGCTGCTGCTAGGTCAATAATAGCCCGGGTATCGGGCGATAGAAGAAAGCATTGGTGTGGGCTGGTCGCAGTGCAAGTGGGAAAATGCTGATTTGTTATTCGACGTTAGCGTAAATTCTTTTGCCCTAGGTTTTTTTTTTGGGGAGGGGGGGGTGAGGGAAAGGTAGGATTGATCAGATCTCTTATTTTGTTAGCCAGCGTTTATTTTGTTTATTATCGTCGCCGTCAATATTTTAGTTGTTGTGTTGGAGCTATGCCAAGTTGTTTGTGTCTTAGCTTGAGAGGCAGCCGCAGCTGAAATCGCGATGTAAGATCGCAAGGACACGGGCGTTTACCACCAACAGCATCGTGTTAATTTATTATCATTGCCAATTATACATGGTGCGTTAAGTTTAACGGATAGAAGAAGATGGTCTTCCTTCCTATCAAGAAGATACGCAAAAAGGCCAAGACGTTGGCTGCGATCGCCGTGCTGACGCTGGGAGTGTTGGCCACTTACCTCGGCACTCGCGCGGGGTCCCGCCCGCACACAGGTAGGCCTCGCGGCTGGGACTAGCGAGCCCCGCCGGGCTAGGGTGCGCCTCGCCCGGCAGAGCCCCCCGCGGTGATGAGGGTCGGATGGGGTGTTGATAATAATGTGTGTGGGGGAGCGCTGGTGTAGCGACACGAGTTCGATTCCCGCTCGTGGCCACCAACACCGTTGACGATTATCCGAACTGGTTCCGGGCCTCGCCTAGGTCGACTCTGCCGCAAACGAGTACCTGGTGCGGTGTGTAAACATCGACGCTGGGGAGACAAAGGCGGCCGGGCGTGGTGTTGGCCACCCACCCGTGTGCCGTGCCGATCTTCATGGGTGCTCGCTAACAGCGCTCGCCCCAACGGCCTGTTTGTGGCTCAGTGTGTAGCAGGACATGTGATGTGTGGGTAATACAATGTCCTGCAGACGTCTGCAGTCGCCCATGTACACATTTCTGTGTGTGGAGTGCAGCTACACATGTATACATGTGCACACGCGTGCGGGTAGTACATGAACACGTGTAAAAAGGGCGTATCTTCTTGATGTGTGGGTATGACATGTGCATGTGTGGAAGGACACAGGTTGTACATACGTGTGTAGTACAGGTATGTGTCGATGCAGGTACCCGTGTGGTCATAAGTGCACGGAATGTGTTGCACATGCATACCTGTGTATGAACGCACACTCATTTGCATAGTATGTTGAACTTGTTTTCAGTTGCATTTATTTGGTATAGCCCTGTGAGCCATTCGGCTCTTGAATCGGGTGCAACCGCAACAAACAAAAACACGAACAAGAAAAACATCTTACAGTGATTATGTGACTGTGCAAACAGAAAATACAGGAAAAAAACAGCAAAATAATCCTTGAAAAGCACCGTACACCAACTCTGTGTGCAAAAATCCCAGTGGGATGCAAGTCAAACAACAACCACAAGACAACTTAGATTAAGATATTTCGAACCGTACGTAGCCAACCACGTGTTAACATTACACGAGCTGTACCGTGCACACCTCTAAAAAAAACACGCATTCGTCTGTGTTATCCCTCGATCCTCACGACCGCAGCAATTCCAGTCCACCAATTCTCACGCATCACATGGGCGCGATTGGGTCGGCACTTTTAATACAAACCAACATGAATTCCTCACGCCTCCAAACCCCATCCATCCTCCCTACGGCTCTCACGCCTCCACAAAATCAACCTCACACGCTGGACCAGTTGCCAATCTCAGGCATTGCCCCACCACCGTACAGCATTGGCAGTTTTTTTAATATGTATAACAGTCCCTAGATGCAACGGAGTAATTCGATTAAATTGATTCCCAATCAACGAGCTTGCAATCAAAATACTATCCGGAGCCACATCACGGTCATCATCTGTACAGAAAATTAATCGTGTTCATCAATGACACTGTGGCCTTAAAAGGAAAAAAATATATATTCGGCAACGTTTCAGACAATGGCCCTTCTTCATAGCACACCTTCCATAGAGGGTAAGTAAAATTAACATAGCAACTGGTAACGCTATAACCTGTGGTTGGGGTAGTAAGCAGCGGTTTGCTCTTGAATAGATGGGTTCCTGTAAAACTAACGTGGATTTTCCATCACTGGCTTCTGGATTGTGCTTGGATGATGGGTGGTCACCATGCATGATAGGCTGCGTTGCTATGTGGCTACGTGTTTAATGTTCAAAATATGCTGGATATATGGTACAAGTAACTGGCAGTGGTTAGACACAACGCTACTTGGTTTACTGATGATCGGGCATCATGTATTTGTAAGTGATTAGTGTGAGGCTTGAAATGCTGTGTTGAACTTAAGGCTGATCCTATTTTAAGAGTGAACTGATCAACCTTCTAGCATTATTTTTGGGGACCCAAGTTCAAACATTTAGTTAATCATATATATTTGCAGATATAAGCATGAACTGTAGTTTATCGTGATAAATTTCAGATTGATTAGCCCTTCTAGAACATCATTAGAAAAATGGTTCAAACACTACACTTAAATTGATGTACGTACATACTTTTCCTGCAAGCAAATATGGTCACAACCCCACCAACCAACATGGAGTGGAGAGGCCTTGGCCCAGCAGTGGATTGACAAATGTCTGAAAATCAATCATACAGCTTTAATATAGATGCATGAAGCTAATAATATACACTCATTTTTACTTTATATAGTACACTGCTGCATATGCAGAACATTCAGTAACATCACACGATGCTGCAGATGTCACAAAATCATTCTGATTGCTTACTGGTACAAAGTGCTCCTGCTTAGCTGTACAAAGGGATCTCTTAGCCAAATTTCCATAAGGCAATACTATAACGATCCATTATGCCCGACATAATTAACGTCAAAAAATATTTCGTACTCAAATGAGAGCAGGGTGTAGAGCGCTTCTGTTGTTACTCAAATTCTACATTTCTCTGGATGGGAGCATTCTATCCAAGGGCAACAGCTACCAGGGATCTCAATGTAAAACTCGTGTTGCAGACACCACAGCTAAAGTGGGGCTGAGTTGACCACGACTGGGGTTTGAACTCAAAATCGAATGATTTGAATCCGTTTTCACTTCCCACTGAGCCATATACCGGTCAACATCATCAGCAACAGTGGCAATGATTTGTCTTTTGCGAGATAAAGTCCTCCCCGAGATAGAGTCCTCCCCACACCATCTCCAGCCCTCAAGGTCTCGTGAAGTGACAATCCATATCATTATTGCACATATGGTTGAGTCTCTCCTTTGGCTGCTGTTCAATTTTCGGTCTCTTTCATTGGCAATCATCTCTTCTATTGATGTGTCCTGTCCATACCCACGTGTTGAACTATCACACTTGCCATGTTGGTATTTCAGAGGAAGAGATATGTCGAGAATCCTGAGGGTTGTGGATGAGAATGAAATCAGTTTTATCTCCAATTTATCCACGAGGGATACTCCTTGTCCTTTTTTTATTCTATTAAACATATGATTGCTGTTTTCATATCCCCACTGGCTGCAAACTGTAATGGATGTTCTCCTCTTGTTCATCTTTCCAATGCAAAATTTACCAATCCTCTCATCTCTCGTATTGCTTTCCCCCACATTGAAATTGAAGTCTTCCATGATGATGCTATTGTCTGTTTTGTTCTCATTCAGAAGTTGGAAAATGCCTTCTTACGTTTTTGTCAAATTCTACTTCACGTGATTAAACACATTGTTTGGTGATGCCGCATTTGCGGTGGTGCACAAAGCACAATTGACAGCAAACTCAACAAATCAATAACACTGGTCTTAAATAAAAAAATATAACAAGTGACAATTTGGGCAATGGCCCATCTGAATTAGGGCCATATCCCGAAACGTCACCGATTAATTAACTTTTTCCTTTAAGACCACAATGTTATCGACGAATTAGAGGGTTTTTAGTCTTTTCAGCTTGTTTTGGGGCGTATACTGTCATTATCTTTAATCGTATATTGGTTGGAGAGCCTTAACTTTAGCTGGGAAACTATTTGTGAAGTACTCTTTAATTTTCAAACTAATTCCCCGAGCGACTAAAAATCCACGTGTCTGAAATTACTGTCAACTCTCCTATGATAGGCTTGCCACGATTTAATGGATTTATTTACATTTTCGTCTTTTATCTGCACCTCACAGAATACCTAATATGTTCCAATGTATTTTTCAAAGTTGTCGCCAGTTTGATAAGGTTTCGTTCATTAAAGAGTCAGCATATTTGTGCGTAGCTAAGGGTCAAATCCAGATGGCACGTTTTTTATAGTAAGTGATTTTGTCCCTCCGCTTTCTCAGATAATGCCATGGCTATTGTTGGGGTGAAATTAATTTGGCTGGCCACATGCCAATGAAGCTTGAACTATTGACAACATGGGCGCTGACGTGGCCTTAACGTTAGCGCTTGCCGCCTGTCGCGCAGAGGTTCACAGTTCGAATCCACCGACCGGCCCCTGATTATCACTGCAGGTGCATTAACCGTAAAAACAAATTTTACACGCTTCATCGTAGACGATCAAGAATCCCGTAACCTTGTTCGCAAAGGGTAGGCCATTGTGATGCCTGCGCCGCGGTCAATTTTTTTTTAAATAGCCGCAAATCACTCAATTGGGATTATTCGTGGCAATTATTGACCCCGACTGCAACACCTTAGAAGGACCCCTCCTAAAAATGAGTCACAATACTCAGCCAGACTCTGCTGGGCAACCGAGAATAATTATTATAATAATGCAAGGTCAGCGTATATATTAACGAATAATTATATCGTGAACGTTGTGCGTGTTTGTGTTATTCATGGCTGTTAGACGTGCCATGTAAAGCCATTTTAATGATTTATTGCTGCTCAGTACGTTTCCTATACGTGACATTTTATCAGGGTGGGTACATCTGTGCAACGCCCAAACTCTGCTTTTTCCCGTGGATAAATAATGAGAAACGATAAGACGGCTATACCAAGATACCAAGTCTAAGTCCTATTAAGTATTCAACCATTCCGGTAATTTATATTTCAGAGTGCAGTATATTATCAAGTTTCTCAGATTTTATAACATTTCTGACTTCAGATGAGAACTTCCCACACTCCCAGACCATGTGGGCTCTTATACTTCAGGTGCGTCTATATATGTCAGCCTGTCTCACTCATGTACAAATCATATGACGCATCTATTGCTTGGTAGACATTGGTGACATGACTGCAAGGGATGAGAGCTGGTGTCGGGATTAAATGTCTGGTTTGCAAATAACTGCTCTTTAAGTTACTGCATTCCTTCTCCACCATCCTCCCCCTCCACCGCACCCCTCAGAGTAAAGATGACTCGATGAATTGTCATATTTCGGGTCTGAAAATCTATTCAAGCATCGCTTATTTTTGTCTTTTGTTTACACTCTTATTAGTATTTTTTGTTTGTGTTTATAGATTGTGCTGCCTCGTGTGTACACATGTGTTCACCTCATTAGCTCAAATGGAACTTTAGAAGATCAATTTAACAACATTCGCTGATGATGATGAAAATAATG